CCTAAACTCTTTGAAATTTGCAATCGTTTTATTATATAGTTCTGATCTGTTTTTTTTTTTTTTTTTTTTTTTTTTTTTTTTTTTTTTTTTTTTTTTTTTTTTTTTTTTTTTTGAACAACTGATTGATTTTCTGAATGTTGGAAATGAGCATTCAATACTGTACTGAGAGATTTATTTCGGGGGGGGGGATTTGTCCCGGACCGCCGGGACAAGTCACCCCCCCCCCGGAATTCTGGGATTCAAACTTTTCAGTCTTTCTTTGAGCCTCTCAGTATAAAGAAAAACAAAAACTGTCGAATCAAACCTTTTATTAACTAACTTTATTAAGCATATTTCGGGATATTCTGGTTTGTCCTAAAAGAGAAATCAAAAAATTTTCTTCAAATCCCCGTCGCGTGTCTTTGTAAACTTTGTTTACAAATTGATTACAATTATTATGTAATATTAATTGAAAAATTAGTATTATGTAATATTTTTTAATTACTAGTTTAACTTTTGCAAACAACAGAATAAACAATATTTGTTGTAATGTTTTCCCCCTATTTTGCATGTCTGAAACAGTCCTTGCTTCTTACCATATCCCCCCCCCCGAAAAAATATCCTGGCTACGGCCTTGGTTGCAAAAATTTTTTAACTGACAAGAGTTGTCTTAATCTTAGGAATTGGAAAAGAAATTTAATTATTTCCTCCAACATTAATAAGATAATAGTTAAAGAATTTAAAATAAATTTCAGTTTTTTATTAAAAGATTAGAATTAAAGAATAGGGAGACCGCGAAATTCTAATGAAGGTGTTTATAGACAGTTAAATATATCAATAAGAAATTCTTATGAATCGGCTGATGCCTTTTGTTGTAAAATGGTGGTATTCGAACTTTTTGTAGCTCCTTCATTTGTTTGATGATTAATTTTTTGTTTTTTTTTGTCTTTTTCCATCTTAAATAAGGTTTCAATTTTCAAGGATACCATTTTAATTAGGAATTACACTGAGAAATGAGGATTAAAAAATCCTAGCGAATTGTGTTAAAACTCTACTAAGAATTTTAAAAATTAAAAATGAGTTAAAGCTACGAAAGACTAGAATAATAAGGAAAAGAGCTAATTCTTGTAAAAAGGTTTTTTCTATTAATTTCCGAGGTATATATATACATCTCATAGTTGTTAGAACATTGAAAGACAAAATACGGAACAATATTCTTTATTTTTTACTATTTTTTTAAGTTTATATCTTGAAACTTGACAGAGCTTGTGAAAACAGGAGATTTATCGTGACGGCGAATACGTGCCTTATCTACCCTAGAGAAAATTTACCCTTTCTCAATAAATAAATAAATAAATAAAAAATAGTACCATATCATTAAATCATTTAAAAATTGCATTTGCACAAAAGAGAGAATGTTCATTTTATTTGGGCCATTTTTAATCGCTCTCTGTTTTAAAACTTTGATACATTTCTTTCTAATAACTTTGGAACTAATAATATTAAAACTTTAAAATGATTACAGTTCTAATAAAAAAAGCTTTTGATTTCCCTTTCAAATTTTATTTACAGGAGAGAGAGATCAAACTTAGACTGTAAGTGACTTACACTTCCTATTTTTGCCCTTAATTAACTTAGGACAAATAATATTTAAATGTTAACCTAATTATAACACTACTATTATTAAGGATACAAATAGAGGTTGTTAGATTTTTTTTTAAAATTATTTTCATGCCCTTTTTTTAAAACTTTTTTTGACCTGTCTGTAAACTATTAATTACTAGCATGAAACTATTCTTTACTAACTTATCAGAGCATCTACCCTACCCTTAAACTACTTTTTAATTTTCATGTTTTGTTTTTCTAACCATTTAGGATAAATGACATTAAAAATTCAACTTAATTACAGCTTTATAAAAAATAATAATATTGCATTAAAATTTTTTTTCTCCAAATTTTATTTCTGAATCCTCTTTTCTAAGAATGAAATGTTAGCATTTTTTATTCGATTCATTAGCATCTGAAACAATACTTTAATTTTCTAAAACACTGCCTCTGCTTTCATAGAAAAATCATCTTTTTTTATATTCTGAGGAAATTTTTTGTTTTCTGAAAGACTAGTCTGCATTTTCAAAAGCAAATTGAGAAAGAATAAGGTGTGTCTGAATATTTTCCACATGGTTTTTGGAGAAAAGTTAACAAACTTTTTGACAGATGGCAGCACAAAAAATAATTATTTTACTCGGTGGGAGGGGAGGGTAAATTAACCCTTTTTCTTATTTTATAAATATTTTTAACTTTATTGATTTAAAAAAGCACATAAAAAAATTCCAACAACATTAACTTTGAAGAAAACACAATTCGTGGCCTGTTCTGAAAATATGCTGCATTAATGCTTGTTTGGCCAGTTGTTATTCTAGCGCATGCGCAATCTGTACGGGGAGGCATGGCATGACGTTTTTAAAGAAAAAATAAAAACAAAATATTCGCCGGCCGGCTGCATCAAGAGCTCCATTTGCTGTCAGAAGTAAAAACCACTGCATCCTTTCAGCTTGAAAGAAACGGATAATCACGTTTCCGCTCATCAAGATATTAACCCGTTCCTGGAAAACAATTAATCTCATCTATTTTATTCAAGAATTCTGAATTCAAGAGTTATTCCGAATTAAAATGGCAGAATTATGTGGAAAATTTAAATTAGTGAGCAGTGAAAATTTTGATGAATTTATGAAGGCGATGGGTATGCTATTATCCTTTTTTATGTTTGCTATACAAAAGAATTTAATGATTTTTTAACTCACTATTTTGGCACTTAAATTTAATTGGAAAACAGATGACTGTTCTCAAAATTTAAATATTCGCTTATAATATTAGCTTAAAATTGAAGACTAGTTTAAAAATATTGTTATCTATCATAAAGTATCCATCATATATTTGATCTATCATAAACTATTGTAAATTTTCATAAACCTATGATTTAATTACGATTAAGTTATTAGTTTCATTTTGTGATAGATTAACAAAGGTGAGCAATATAAAGTACTATAAAATGTGTGAATTTAATTATGGAAATCGAAAACTTAATGATTAAATGAGAATACACGATTAATGATTATAAATTACTTGAGCTTTTTTTTTTCTTCGTTGCTCATCATTTTTAACATTTGTGTTCGTAAAATGCAATGCATTGATTTTATTACTTTACACATTTATCTTTCTTTAAATCATTTTTTTCACGAAATTGATTTTGAATTACCACTCCCCACCACGTTATTTATTAATATTTGCTTTTTATTTTGTTAAGTAATATGGTCAACGTATAATATTTTTCATTCATCGTGGCCTGATTTTAATTTATAAAACTTTAGCTTTTAAGATGTATAAATTGCTCACACAATAAATCTGGTTCTATTATTGATCAATAAATGAGAAAAAAATTTAAAAATTGGTACCAAATCTTGTATAAGCATATATCAATATATTTGTATTTGATATTTTATTTTGTTTTTCATTTATTTATGTTCTTAGGAAAAACTTTTGATAATATGTCTGGAATAATGTGGTTGGGTTTAGGTTGCAATTTCACCCAACCCCATGTTTAAAAAAATGGCGCCATATTAGTGAAAGTTCTTTAGATTCCAATCAATGTTTTTTCTCAATTTTATGCTTTAGATTACGATTGTCTCATTTTTAAAAGAAAATAAGTTTCCTGAAATTAATTTTAATGAGTCGATTTTATACCTATCTGATAAAAATATTTTTATAATTGTGAACTTTAAATATAATAAAAATTTTTTGTTTGGTTCAGTGCATGTTAAATAGCGTTATTTTAATTAACAATTTAACTCAAATCTTGTAGGTATATATCTTTTAGGACATATTATCATTTGAAACAATTTGATATGGTTCAAATTATGTATAACTATCTAATTAATATACTTTTTTTAAAAAATTAACAACTTTTTGATGCACTTTTTTATTAGGTTGTTTATTCAAAAAAAAATTTTTTTTAATTAATGGCAACTTAATATTTTTCTGATAAAATTTTTCTTGATTTATGACATATTTTCATTTGATTAAGTTTTCTATTTGATTTAGTTTCTAGGTTTAAAGCATGCAAGGTAGGATATTTTTTTTATAAATTAATAACTTAACTTTAAAATTATGTGATAAATAGATTTTTTAATTTATTACTTTTTAAACATTTACTATTTTTTTTTTTTTTTTNTTTTTTTTTTTTTTTTTTTTTTTTTTTTTTTTTTTTTTTTTTTTTTTTTTTTTTTTTTTTTTTTGGTTTGGTTAAGTGCATGCTGCATATAATTTTAGAATTAAAGATAATATATCTGATTTATAAATTATTAAATTGATGATCTGATAAATAAATTATTAAATTGATGATATATTATCGTTTGATTTAATTTTCTAATGAGTTCAAAGCAAGCAATTTTTTTAATTAATGACTTTATAACTATCTAATTATTATGTATTTTTAATTAATGTCAATAATTCAATTCAATTTTCCATTCGGTTCGGTGTATACAAAATATTTTTTATAAATGTTTTTGATAAATATTTTCAACTGTTTTGATTATTGAATTTCTTTCATTTATTGGTGTAAAAAATCAAGCTAAAAATTTTTTAAGTCTTAGCTGATCTTCAGTTATATTAGGTCTGACCTTATATTTTATGAATATCTTGATTTAAAATTGTGTTTGCCTAGTTTACATGATTCTGTGCAGAGTTTCATCAAAAAATTTATCAGAGCCAGGCCCAATTTTTCGGAACGAGTATGTTATGGAATAGAAAGCGTAACAGATTTTTATCATAAGACATTTTTTAATGTAACATAAAAACAGGCTTTTAACATAAAGACATTTTTTAATGTAATACGATCGAAAAACAAAGTAATTTGAAATATTCTATAAAGACACATAAATACAATTAAACTATGCACGTACAATTAAACAAGCTCTAATCACATTGGATCAAAAATTTTAAGAGTCATCTTACAATGTTACATGTAGATCGCTCTCTCTTTTTTTTTCGAAATTTTTCAGATTTTTAGGTAAAAAAAAAAAAGAAGATAAAAATAAAATAGTGGGCGCCAGCTGTAATTTTTCTGAGAGCCTTGATATCAGGTTTTGTCTACCATTTTTCGCGATACCTAAAAAATAGCTGACTCCCAACATTTCAGTAAAGAGCCGCGATAGCTTAGGTGATAGAGCACTCGTCTTCACAATGAAATGTTCCGGGTTCGAATCCCAGCGATGGCTAGTCGATACCAATATTTACTTCCGGCTCGCACTGACGGAAGTGCTGACGTAAAGTATTCTCAGGGTTAAACAAATCATGCTTTAAAATCGCCCTACCATCACGCTAGTGGTTTTCCTCACCATGTAACTCAAATGCGTCTCATACGGTGGAAAACCATGCAAAAAACCTTCCACAAAGGCTACTCTGTCACAATGTTAGATCCAAGAGTTCCTTTGCCTTCTGGATTGTGTTTAAAAATACAAGGTTATGGAATTGAACATTGATGGTGGTGTACCCAAAAGGTCGGCTATTCAAAGTCTAATAAATAATAGAATAATTTGGTTAAATTAACAAGAATACAGAAGATATTTTTCAAAAATTGAACGCAGTTAACCTCATTTTATCAAAAAACAGTTTCTTTTCAATGGTAAATTTTGGAATAAACGAACTGATTACAGATAACGTATGTATGTTTAGCATGAATTTGTCCAGTTATGGATGGTGTTTTCAATAGAAATGCAAACAATAACAATCTCGAGCTCGGGACCTACTCCAGTTCCGGTTAAAAAGTTTGCAGCTGCTTACTACATGTTAATCTGATAGGCGATGTTTTCAAACGGATAATTTTGTTTTCAATAAAAGAAATAAATTAGATAATTTCTGAGCTCAAATCTGCTGTCTTTCATAAGATATTAATGTTTTTTTGTAATTCTGGGGAGTTTGGAGTGAAAATGTGTTTTAGTTATTTTGTTATTTATTATTAAAAAAGGTGACATGGTTGCTAGATTTTGAATAACTCGCTTTTTTGGCAGTCTTGATTTGGCCTCTTTCCATTTGTTTATTACTGTTTGTTNTTTTTTTTTTTTTTTGAAAATTGCTCATTTAGTTTTTTTAAATTCCAATTCAGTTGAAACGTGGCATGGAGTTGAGATTGCAGCCGTTCGTAAAACACACAAGAATGACTCATGTTCTGCAGTCATCCTCTATTTAAAAGACTGAATGAGAAGTAGTGGATTCAGCTTTGTCATTTTTTATCGCCACACACGGTTAAACACTCTAAACCAGCCTTTTAGATGAGGAAACGCGATGAGAGTCTACTTATTTTATTTATTTTTTACGCTACGATGCTGAGAGTACATCTTACGATCTTTTACGCCATTTTGTAGACAATTTTTTTTTCTTTTCACTTTCTTTTTCTAAAATGTTTAACTTAAGTGTTTGTCTTGACAATATGACAACTGAAAATGAAACAAATTATTTCTCCATTTGTTTTCGATAAGTTAAAAAAAAAAAAAAAAATTATGAACACATTTTATTTATGTTATGAAATGAATGTTATGTATATGAATATAACATTCTATACTTCTTTATTCTTCTATATTTAACGTTCTATACTACTTCTATAGTTATGAAATGAATGGGCTGAAATAAAATTTTAAGAAAGAACATTTTTTATTCGTAGCACCCATTTCGCAGTTTCTATCCCATGCCGATTGGATGCCTGCAAATGACGTCACGCAGGACCAAATCGTGACATTTGTTAATGCCACGATTCAGCAGCCAACCAGGTTCGACACAAATGTGTGACGTCGTTTACAGGTATCCAATTAAATCTGATCCGATAATGATTCAGTCTGATAATAAATCAAGACTAATAGTTGTAACATTAACTCACCATGCACAACCACGTAATTAGGCATAATCATGTGATTTCAGCGGTATTCTTCTCGAGCATTTTACGAGCATGCACCCAATTATGTATGGAATAGAAGTTTTTCAAAATATGTCAAATCTATTTTTTTTTCTTTTATAAATTAAAAAAGTTTTTAAAGCAAAAAATAATCAATGAGTATAGTTGCACAATAAGCTATTGCTTATTTATCAATTTTTATTTTGGTAATTTGTTACCTGCAACCAGTGAAGAAGGTTAAGCTGGTTGCTTATTGAAAAGATAATTAAAATTTTACTTTCATTTTATGGGCATTAAAATTTTTTTTATAAAAAAAAAAAAAAGTCGATTTTTGCAGCTGGAAAATCCAACATCCATTTTGATATTTGACACTATCGCATGATTTTGTGCAAATTAAATGTTTTATAATAAAAACTGCATTGTCTTTCCCTTTTTTTTAATTTTTTTTTCTTACTTCTTCCTCTTTACAATTTTCCTTCTTTTCCGTTGTTTCCCAGTTTTTAAGATTTAATTCGAAGATTCATGACTTAACTGATGATTTTTTTTCTCTTCTTTCTTTTGAAAATTTATCTCAAGCTTTTTGTTAAACACTTGAATTTGTATGGATTAAGAAATAAGATTAACTACTAAAAACTAAATCATCGTGCCTTTTACATTTTGCAAGAAACATCAGTTTAAAAAGTGCTCTAAACTAGTTTTAGTAATTCTTAATCCATATTTTTAATGGAAATGAGACAATTTTTCCGAATACAATTTATAAATAATCCTTCAAGTCATTTATTTTGCAAATTACGTCA